AAGTTCATGGCCTGAGTCGCTTTCTGTACCTCGGAGAAGCGGTCAACGATGCCCGTGACGGCAGATCCGAAGAGCCCCGGTCGGAGAGATAGGCGCGTTGAGAACACGCCGCGTTCTGAATCTCCCATGTCGGTAAGCGTGAGCCATAAGTGTCTCTCAGCGACACAGAGGGGCAGCCATGCATCTCCCCAGGGCTTGGTGCGGCGGCTTTAGTGGCGCGAAGGGAAAGGTCCGTAGCGCTTCTCAGATCCGAGAGGATGGGCGGGTTCCTACCGCTGTTCGCCATTTCGCAACAGATGTCGCTCTGGAGCACCTGGAGGACTGACATTGAATGCAGCGCTGCAGCGGCCTGTCCGGCGGCGGCATAGGCGCGGGCATGAAAGTTAGAGGTCGCTCTGACACGCTTTAGAGGAAGCGTAGGGGAGGAACGCCATCTAGCAGAGGCGGGCAAAAGATGAGCGGCGACCCGAGTCCTCGACGGGCGGCATGGCAGCATAACCCTTCTCGGCGGCTCCGTCCACTGAGCGCGAGCGAAGCGGACACATCGGAGCGGTTACGAGCCGAAGAGAGGGGCATTCCAGGACTTCGTGAGCTCATTTGTAAAGCTCAGGCAGGAATGGTGCAGCCCGGCTGCAGGCGGGGCCGGCGCCGGTGCAGGACTTCCCATCCAAGCGGTTCGGTGGTTGCTCGGGGGGAGGAGACCACTCGAGACCGCAGGCGGTTGATGGCCTGTGAAAGGAGGCGCGTTAGTTCCTCCTCGATGCCGGCGCGGGTCCCCGCAGACTCTCTCGTCGATGAGCCGATCGACGACCAATCCTCGCTGTCAGAAGCGTGCAGCGAACAGGAGTCCTTCTCATCCGCGGTGTCGTCGGAGGCGACAGAGCGGCCACTCGGCGGCAACTGTATGTCCGGCTGGGGCGGAGAGGGAGAGCGGTCGGTGGGCGGGCGCGGCGGCCCACATGGATCCGCAGTGGGCTCCGGCGGCCTCTGGGAGCGCGTTTTTCTTCTTCCGCGGCGAAGTGAGAGGCGGCGCGGGAGCCGGTTTGACCGCCTGCAGTCGTGCC